CAGAAGATCAAATGTGGAAATTAATTCCATATATTTTTCAAATTTATATCAGTTCAGCTTCAAATAGAAAGTAAATCAAACTCGTGGATACTAGTTGAACTTTTCAGAGATTGGGCTCCCTGTGTCCTTATGCTGTTGACATTCGAAGGTTTCAAAGTATATTTTGCTCGTTTTCATATTTTAAATGCTCAATTTAGCTGGTAAGACGATGAGTCGTCCTTTTATTTTCCTTTTAACAGCTACTTTGTTTAGTCATTTGTTATTTTGTTGAGTTTGGAAGCGAATTCTGTGATGAATTGGAAAAACGTTGCGTTATGCGTTACTACTTATCTTGACCTTCAAGGGTCATCACGGCGCTTACAATCGATTTAGATTCACATGAAACAGTCACTTTAATCACACACTGTAAACTAAGCGAATGTTTTATGAAAATTCGTTTAGAAATACTATTTCTTTTGACTTCATTCAAGTCTGTAAATTACTGATTATTTATTGGAGCGAAATCTCGTTAGTCTCGAGCGACATCTCTTGAGTAGATTTGTACCTTCGCAGTTAGATACAGGAACATTGCTTCGGCTGTTTGTAATGTCCGACGATCAATCTACTTTTAATTCAGAACGGCTTATTTGGATGACAAAACTAACTGAACTTTCTTCAAGACTCCATGACTCTCGTTTTGAAATCTAATGAAAAGTTCTTTTTTCGATGCATCCGGCTCTACCTACGAGTCTTCTGAGAGGATCTAAATATGTTGACGTTTGTACATAAGCGGTTTCTGTTTACTTTATCGCATCAGCAAAAAAAGGTTTGACTCATTGAAATTTTAGTTTTAGGCGTTAATCGAATTAGTTTACTTCAAGTTGCATCTTTCCTTGATCTTTTTGATATAAATAATCCGAAGATGAAACTAAGTGCGAGTGTGCGCATTTGCAGAGTGGGTCCACAGTGCTAGAAAGTATCCCACATGAAACAGCAACAGTTCATTTCCTCATATAAATTGTGAAAGTAGTCTATACTGAATAAGAGCTTTGTGCTTGTTAGTGTTGCGTAACGTTCGTAATCAGATGACGTAAGACGATCGTTATACGTTTAATTGTCGATCTGCTAACATCTTAGTTAGTGAGCGAGTGAGTGACACATTGGCATATTCAGAGCCCTCACAATAACTCGTTTCTACGCTTCGCGTATCCACGAGTTACAAATAATTTTAAGGCTACGACATTTTATTTTCTGTTTCTCATATCATTACGAATACAAAAAGCAGAAATAATAACCAAGTAAGAAAATGTATACATGTGATGTTACTAMAAAAATAGACCATTTCTTATGTGTAGTAAAAGAATTAGAACGACCAACTTTTATTCATCTACAATTTGGTTGTAAACGATCGTTATACGTTTAATTATCGATCTGCTAACATCTTAGTTAGTGAGCGAGCGAGTGACACATTGGCATATTCTTCGCGTATCCACGAGTTAAAAATAAACTTAAGGCTACGACATTTTATTTTCTGTTTCTCATATCATTTCGAATACAAAAAGCAGAAATAATAACCAAGTAAGAAAATGTATACATGTGATGTTACTACAAAAATAGACCATTTCTTATGTGTAGTAAAAGAATTAGAACGACCAACTTTTATTCATCTACAATTTGGTTGTAAACCCATAATGACGGATTCATCTACTGCTGAATTTGACTGATTCTGTGTACAATAACTTACTACTTTTATAATTTTTATATTTAGACATCGGATATAAAAGGACTTGTAAACCCGTCTTATGAAACTAAATGGACTGTATTTGATTTACCTTTTACACATGGAAGGCCACAATTCGAATGCTGCGTCCTAGGTAAAGCTAGCATTGAAAACAATAAAGTGGAGAAGATCTGCATTGCATCATTTATGGGCGTTCCGTGTTTCCTTCAGCGTTTTAATATATTTCTATCCATTTTGAAATCTAGTGCGAAAAGAAGATGTAAGGTGTGAAGAACTTTTGGACGATGAATGCTACAATCTAAAAAAAGGCATAATTCAAACTGCTTTGGCGCATAGCCTAAACGTGTATATTCTTGGTCACGTTTTGGTTTGAAACAAGAAGTCAAAGAGGGCTGTACTCAATCGGTCATAAACGTGTCAAACAGTCAACTACTCATATCAGAGCATTCGTTTTGAAGATCATTTGGACAACAAATATTGGGAATGAAAGACAATATTTACCTTGCTTAACGATTTCCAAGTTTGTTAAAAGCAACAAGATGAAAAGATACTGTGATCTAAAACAAACGGCCATCGCTTTCGTTTAATGGCGTTTTTGCTTAAAACACAGGGGGCCCAATTAAGATTAAAGTAAAAAAGGTGGAAGTGAATTTAATTTTTCCGAATTCACTTCCACCTTTTTTACTTTAATCTTAATTGGGCCTTCTGTGTTTTAAGCAAAAACGCCATTAATTTCGAGATCAAGATGTCCTCCGTAATAATGCGAAAGAGTAAAAAATCGATGAAAAATGCACTAGAACTTTTTTTTCGCGCGCGCCTTTGCATCAGAAAAGATCTCCTTGAAATAAAACAGAACCTGTCGTGGATTTGAAAACCACGTTCTTTCCTGAACATTTTGGTATATAATTAATAGGAATTTGTTAAAATTTAGAACAGTATTTTTTGCTGATTTTATAGGATCATACTATCTGTGGGCCTATACATTCGCCTCTTATGGTTTCTTAGGTTT